ATGTAAGATAAATCCAAATGTGTCAGTGATCACAATAAATGTTAAGAGTTAAATGATAGGGGGTCCCTGGGTGGCGCAGCGGTTTAGCGCCTGCCTTTGGCCCAGGGCGCGATCCTGGAGACCGGGATCGAATCCCACGTCGGGCTCCCGGTGCATGGAGCCTGCTTCTCGCTCTGCCTGTGTCTCTGCCTCTCTCTCTCTCTCTCTCTGTGACTATCATAAATAAATAAAAATTAAAAAAAAAAAAGAGTTAAATGATAGAGATCACCAAATGGGATTTTTTTTTTCAATCCAGCTATGTTCGGTTTACAAGAGAGACATCTGGGACATAAGAACATAGTATGATTGAAAATAAAAGAATTGGGGTGGGGGGTGTGGAGGGAAGAGAAGAGGGTTACAATGGGAATAGAAATACCAGGCAAATAAAATAAAGATGTAGTAGCTAAAGAAATGGCAGATGGAAATGGGCTTTAAGACAAAAGTACCTGGAGGGCATCAATGATAATGACAATGGTGATGACAAATAGGATAGGTCACCAGGAAGATAAAACAACACTTTACTTGGATGCACCTAATAACGTGAACTAAAAATATATTAAGCAAAACCTGAGAAATCAACAATCAGAGTGAGAATTTTTAACAGAACATTTTCAATAACTGGCAGGCAAACGTTAGTAAGCAGACAGATGTTCTCGACGGCTCACCACCAAGCCTGACCTAATAAGACATATGTTGAGCCCTGCACACAACAAGCACAGATGCAACATTTAAAAAAATTAACCCTGTATGCGACCACAGAGCAACCCTCAACAACATCCTGCAGGTCACAATACAATGAAATTAGCAATTTAAATCTCAGGAAGATCAGAGAGGGGCACCTGACTGGCTCAGTCAGGGATGCCAGTGATTCTTGGTCTCCGGATTGCAAGTTCAAGCCCCATGTTGGGTGTAGAGATTACTTAAAAAGAAAATCTCAAAAAAGAAAAGAAGGTGCGGATCTAAATGGCCTCCTTTCCACCCTGGGCAGATTCATATGGCCCATTCCAGGCAACAGGTCTGGTCCTTGTCTTAAAAAGTAAGAAAGCCGTAGCGCAGACTTGCATGCTACACTTAGTCCGGTGTGGGCCTGACCTGTCCCTGGTTTCAGCTGGGACCTGAAGGCTTCCTGGAGGCCCGAAGAAGGAGCACCACAAGGTCTCCCTGGGCCCCAGCTGTGACCAAGGCAAAGGGGTTCTGTCTCTTTCAGCTGAGCCGGCAGGTGGTGAGTTCCCACTCCCCCAACCTCAGCCTGGGGTTATCTCCTCACCCCAGGCTGAGTGAGCCACTCAGAAGGAGCCTGACCCTCACTGCTTGCAGGCTGTGGGGTACAGGCCCTGGTGTCCAGCTCACACCTGGAAGAGTCCCCACACTAGCCTGGACACACAGTGAGGCAGGGCAGGGGGACAGCAGAGCCAGGGCAGGGGTGGAGTCTCCCCAAGGAAAGAGCTTGGATGGGCCATGGGACCCAGAGAGAAGTGGACCCTGGATGCCCCATGGCTGGTGACAGTCATAAGAAGCCACTTGGAGGAAAGGCATTGCCTGCTTCTTGTCTATACAGTTGGGGGATCCTCATTTAGAAAAACCCCAAAGGAGGGAGAGTCAGCTCGGCATGCCTGCTCAGGCCAAAGAGCCCGAAGCCAGATCTCCCGTGGCCATCAGAAGCCACCCTTCCCCTTCCTGCCACCTCTTCTTCCTCTGCCAGCTCCAAACCCAGAGGAGTGGAGTGGGTGGGGGAGGGGACACCAACCTGTCCCTGCCTCCGGGGCTTCCCTGGGCCTCCCAGAGTGGAGGGGGCTGAGGGGCTTGTCTGTGAGTGAACTTCAGGGATGTCTTATTATCTTCATTATTAAATGAGAATGTTACAGCAGCTAAAAGTAACTGAAGGCGTTTCTTCTCCAGCAGTGACCTCGGGTCAGGGTGCCACAGGCCAAGCCTGTCAAACACCTCAGGGAACAGGAACCCTGGCTGCCGTCTGGCTGTTAGCTTTTGCTCAGTGCGGACGGCCAGTGTGCAGCCACCATCCCTCCAGCCTGGAGCTGATCCTCACCAACGCGCCCCACACCTCCGTCAGCTCTCAGGCCTGCCAGTTGCTGAGCCCAGGGCTCACACCCAGGGCTTTCACATACCTCGTCTCCCTCCCTGCTCCTTCCCTCCCTCACCCATATCTCTGGATCTGACCTCAGCTCCAAAGGGAAGGGCTGGCTGACCATGGCCTGGCATGATCATGGCCAACCCCCACCCCGAGTCCTAGCACAGTGGAGGTCCTGTACTTAAATCGATCATTTCTAACAGTTATTCAAAGAAAAGGGTAGCTCTCCGAAGAACCTAATTTATAGTCAGTTTGGCTGGTTAGTGAATAGTGATGAAAAAGAAATGAAAAATGAGGTTATTGATCAATCCAATCTTTGGCTTTGAAGACATGTTTTATTATGGAAATGCACACACGCTTACACAAGGCAGGGGGAATGTCACAAATCCTCCAGGCACCCTTCACCCAGCTCCAGCAGTTAGCACTGGGCCGACTCAGTCACCTGGCCCTCCACCACCCCCGCACATCACCCACCCTCCACAGCACCGCTATTTTAAAGCAGATCCAAGATGTCATAGCAGCTCATCCACAAACATGGCCCATTGGTATCTCTCAGAGATAACTCCAAGAGAGAAGATCTCTCTTTTAATGTAATAACTACTACTAGCACACTAAAAAAAACAAAAACAAAAACAGTAATTCCTTATCATCAAATACAGTGTTCGAATTTCCCTAATTATCTCTTAAATGTCTCTTTATGAGTGGTTTATTTAAATCTGGATTCAATCCAAGTCCAGCATTACATGTGGTCAATATGTCTCTTAAATCTCTCATAATCTGCAACAGTCCCTTTCCTCTTTTTCTTTTTCCTTTTTTGCTTATTTGCTAAAAACAAACAAAACCAGTTGTCATGTAGACTTCACTATATTCTGGGTTCTACTGATTGCATCTGCATGAAGTTGTTGTTTGGGATTTTTTGTTTTTTGTTTTTTGTTTTTTTGGATTTTTTTTTTTTTGGAAAGCTATTGTGTATTTTATTTATTTTTCCATGTAAAGACTTTTTTTTTCATTTCAAAACCTTTTTTTTTTTTTTATTTGAGTGTAGTTGACACACAGTGTTACCTCAGTTTCAGGTGTGCAACACCTAGTGATTTGACAAGTTGAAATATTATGTTGCACTCATCATACATGTAGCTATCACCTGTCACCATACAAGGCATTACAATGCCACTGACTGTATTTCCTATACTGTGTCTTTCATCCGTAACTGGTCATCCCGTAACTGGATGCCTGTATCCCCCCACGTCTGTCCCCCCTCCCTCAGGCATGCATCAGCATGTTCTCTGTATTTTTGCTGTTTGTTTAGTCATTTGTTTTTTGTTTTTAGATTGCACTTATGAGTGAAATCACATGGTATCGTCTTGGAGTTTTAACATGTCCCTCTACCAGGAAAACTGTGTTTCCTATAAACTGGTAGTAGATCTACAGACTTATCCAATACAATTTCTATTTCTTTGGTAAGAACACTTCATGGTCTGTGCCATGTTCTTCCATTGCCAGGCAAGGGCCCCACTTCACAAGAGGGTTGCCTTATAGAATAAGAGGTCTCTTCAAGTTGCTTAGTTAATCTCAATACTTTTTAATTTCAGTCACAAACAGAATAAAATTGTAGCTATCTTATAAAAGTTTACATACCTCAAAGTAATCCAACATCTTGTTGGTTATTATGACATAATTTCATATTTAACTGTACATACTTTTACAGCCCTCATCCTAAAGTTATTCTGTCCTCACACATAGACTTAACATTGTTACATACTTTAACAAAGATGGTATGTGAAAGGGCTATTATTTATACTTAACTTAAGGGTTATTTGGCAGCATGACTAAAGTTGGGGGGAGGTATATGGTATGTATTAGTAGGGAAGGACTATGTGAAAGGATTTGTGAGATTGAGAATAAGCAGTTTCAAGCATGTCTATGCAGGGAAAATGTTATAAAATGGTGTTTTTTTTCTTATTAGCAATCAGCAAGGAGTGTGAAAGGCATCAGAGCTTGGCCTGAGCGAGCAATCCTGAGGCCCAAGGCGTCCAGTTGGAGCCTTACATAAGCACCAACAGCTGGATCACTTTTCCAGTTCAGATATTTAAAACAACGCCATGAAGATCAAAATATTATTTTATCTATAGTTCATCCATTTATATATTTATTTTTCCTTGAAATAAAAATGTTCTAAAGTTACACTGTTTGCCACGATGCTTTGTTTAATTCATTTTTCTCGACTGAGGCAATGAAATTCCACACCATCAGATTTTCTTTCTTATACATCTGCTTAACGTTTACACTTAGTTAGAAAGCCCAATTATTCTGTATTTCACCAGAAGTTCTACGTTTTACTGATGATTTCTTTCAAAGAAAAGCTAATATTCAACTTCTTTAGGAGCTGTTACTGGAAAAAGAAGCACCAATCTTGGAGAGAAAAATAAGAATATGATCCTTTTAATTTTGAGCCTTCCTGCAGGATCTAACTCTGGTGCTCCGGATAAAATGTTGACTCCAGTGCTTTCTTCCCATACTTACATTATTACAGAGACATTCCTAATGCTCCCTCTTCAAATTAGAAACAGTGTTGCATTTGCCTCTTGACAGAGTCCTGGTGCAGTATTACAGAACATGTATTCAGGCACTGAATTTATAAGTAAACCAACATTTCCTTGAATGAACGTATAGGAGACTATAGTTAGTTGCATATCAAGTATAGCACAAGGGTAAGACCACGTAGGAAACACCAACGATCCAGTGCCACTTGTCTTTTTTTTTCTATATTTTTTATTGGAGTTTGATTTGCCAACATATAGTGTAACATCCTGTCAAGTGCCCCCCTCAGTGCCCGTCACCCAGTCACCCCATCACCTGCCCACCTTTCCTTCCACTACCCCTTGTTCGTTTCCCAGAGTTAAGAGTCTCTTATCTTCCATCACCCTCTCTGATATTTCCCACCCATTTTCTCTCCTTTCCCCTATATTCCCTTTCACCATTTTTTATATTCCCCATGAGTGAGACCATATGTTTGTCCTTCTCCGATTGACTTACTTCACTGAGCATAATACCCTCCAGTTCCATCCACGTTGAAGCAAACGGTGAGTATTTGCTTGAGGAATTTCTAATGGCTGAGGAATATTCCACTGTATATATAGACCACATCTTCTTTATCCATTCATCTGTCGAAGGGCATCGTGGCTCCTTCCACAGTTAGGCTATTGTGGACATTGCTGCTATAAACATCGGGGTGCAGGTGTCCCAGCGTGTCACTGCATCTGTATCTTTGGGGTAAATCCCCAGTAGTGCAATTGCTGGATCCTAGGGCAGTTCTATTTTTAACTCCTTGAGGAACCTCCACACAGTTTTCCAGAGTGGCTGCAACAGTTCACATTCCCACTAAAAGGGTAAGAGGGTTCCCCTTTCTCCACATCCTCTCCAACATTTGTGGTTTCCAGCCTTGTTAATTTTCCCCATTCTCACTGGTGTGAGGTGGTATCTCATTGTGGTTTTGATTTGTATTTCCCTGATGGCCAGTGATGCGGAGCATTTTCTCATGTGCTTATTGGCCATCTGTATGTCTTTGGTGAAAATTCTGTTCATGTCTTTTGCCCATTTCATGATTGGATTGTTTGTTTCTTTGCTGTTGAGTTTAATAAGTTCTTTATATATCTTGGAAACTAGCCCTTTGTCTGATAGGTCATTTGCAAATATCTTCTCCCATTCTGTAGGTTGTCTTTAGTTTTGTTGACTGTTTCTTTTGCTGTGCAGAAGCTTTTTATCTTAAGTCCCAATAGTTCATTTTTGCTTTTGTTTCCTTTGCCTTCACAAATGTATCTTGCAAGAAGTTGCTGTGGCCAAGTTCAAAAAACGTGTTGCCTGTGTTCTCCTCTAGGATTTTGATGGATGCTTGTGTCACATTTAGATCTTTCATCCATTTTGAGTTTATCTTTGTGTCTGGTGTAAGAGAATGGTCTAGTTTCCTTCTTCTGCACGTGGCTGTCCAATTTTCCCAGCACCATTTATTGAAGAGCCTGTCCTTTTTCATGTGGATTCTCATTCCTTCTTTGTCGAATATTAGTTGACCATAGAGTTGAGAGCCCATTTCTGGGTTCTCTATTCTGTTCCATTGATCTATGTGTCTGTTTTTGTGTCAGTACCACACTTTCCTGATGATCACAGCTTTGTAGTACAACTTAAAATCTGGCATTGTGATGCCCCTGGTTCTGGTCTTCTTTTTCAATATTCCCGGGGTCTTTTCTGACTCCACACTAATCTTAAGATGATTTGTTCCAACTCTCTGAAGAAAGTCCATGGTATTTTGATAGGTACTGCACTGAACGTGTAAATTGCCCTGGGTAGCTTAGACATTTTTGCAATATTAATTCTTCCAATCCATGAGCATGGAATATTTTTTCATTCCTTTGTTTCTTCCTCAAATTCTTTCAGAAGTGTTGTGTAGTTTTTAGGGTATAGATCTTTTATCTCTTTGGTTAGGTTTATTCCTAGGTGTCTTATGTTTTTGGTGCAATTGTAAATGGTATTGACTCCTTAATTTCTCTTTCTTCAGTCTCATTGTTAATGTATAGAAATGCCACTGATTTCTGGGCATTGATTTTGTATCCTGCCACATTACCAAACTGCTGTATGAGTTCTAGCAATCTTGGGGTGGAGACTTTGGGTTTTCTATGTAGAGTATCATGTCATCTGTGAAGAGGGAGAGTATGACTTCTTCTTTGCCAACTTGAATGGCTTTTATTTCTTTTTGTTGTCTGATTGCTGAGGGTAGGACTTCTATGTTGAATAGGAGTAGTGAGAGTGGACATCCCTGTTGTATTCCTGATGTTAGGGGAAAGGCTCTCAGTTTTTCTCCATTGAGAATATTTGCTGTGGGCTTTTCATAGATGGCTTTAAGATGCTGAGGAATGTTCCCTTTATCCCTACACTCTGAGGAGTTTTGATCAGGAATGGATGCTGTATTTTGTCAAATGCATTTTCAAATGGCTGAGAAAATGGAAGCCCTTTGAATGTTGTGTCTGCATATCTTTGTCACGTGAGCTTCCCAGTTACTCAGTGGACAGGCTGGGCTCCTGTCAAATGCTTTCTCTGAATCTATTGAAAGGATCATATCGTTCTTGTTTTTTCTCTTGTTGATATTATCTATCACGTTGATTGTTTTACCAAGGTGTTGAACCAACCTTGCATCCCAGGGATAAATCTCACTTGGTCATGGTACATAATCCTCTTAATGTACTATTGGATCCTATTGGCTAGTATCTTGTGGAGGATTTTTGCATCTGTGTTCATCAGGGATATTGGTCTATAATTCTCCTTTTTGGGGGGGGTTGTCTGGTTTTGGAATTAAGGTGATGCTGGCTTCATAAAACAAGTTTGGAAGTAGTCCATCCCTTTCTACCTTTTGGTATAGCTTTAGTAGAATAGGTATGGTTTCTTCTTTAAACATTTCATAGAATTCCCCTGGGAAGCCATCTGGCCCTGGACTTTTGTGTCTTGGGAGGTTTTTGATGACTGCTTCAATTTCCTCCCTGGTTATTGGCCTGTTCAGGTTTTCTATTTCATCCTGTTCCAGTTTTGGTAATTTGTGGTTTTCCAGAAACACATCCATTCCTTCTAGATTGCCTAATTTATTGGCGTATAGCTGCTCATAATATGTTTTTAAAATCATTTGTGTTTTCTTGGCATTGGTTGTGATTTCTTCTCTTTCATTCATGATTTTATTAATTTGAGTCTTTTTTCTTTTTAATAAGCCTGGCTAATGGTTTATCTATCTTATTAATTCTCTCAAAGAACGAACTCCTGGTTTTGTTCATCTGTTCTACAGTTCTTCTGGTCTCTATTTCATTGAGTTATTCTCGAATCTTTATTATCTCTCTTCTTCTCCTTAGTGCAGGTTTTATTTGCTGTTATTTCTCCAGTTCCTTTAGGTGCAAGGTTAGCTTGTGTATTTGAGTTTTTTCCAATTTTTTGAGGGATGCTTGTATTGAGATGTATTTCCCTCTTAGGACTGCTTTTGCTGGATCCCAAAGATTTTGAATGGTTGTAACTTCATTAGTTTCTGTAAATGTTTTTCTTTTCTAATTTCCTGGTTGACCCATTCATCTTTTAGTAGGATGCTCTTTAACGTCCATGTGTTTGAGTTTCTTCCAAATTTTTTCTTGTGATTGAGTTCTAGTTTCAAAGCATTGTGACCTGAAATATGCAGGGGATAATCCTAATCTTTTGGTATCAGTTGAGACCTGATTTGTGACCCAGTATATGGTATATTCTGGAGAAAGTTCCATGTGCACTTGAGAAGAATGTGTATTCAGTTGCATTTGGATGCAAAGTTCTGTATATATCTGTGAAATCCATCCGGTCCAGTGTATCATTTAAAGCTCTTGTTTCTTGGGGATGTTATGCTTAGAGGATCTGTCATTTAATGAAAGTGGTGTCTGTTGATGTCTCCTATTATTAGTGTATTATTATCTAAATATGTCTTTACTTTGGTTATTAGTTGATTGATATACTTGGCAGCTCCCACATTAGGGGCATAAATATTCATGATTGTTAGGTCTTCTTGTTGGATAGACCCTTTAAGTATTATATAGTGTCCCTCTTCATCTCTTACTACAGTCTTTGGGATAAACTTTAATTTATCTGATATCAGGATTGCTACCCCAGCTTTCTTTTGAGGACCATTTGAATGGTAAATGGTTCTCAAACCTTTCATTTTCAGACTGGAGATGTCCTTAGGTCTAAAATGAGTCTCTTGTGCCACTCATCTTTAAACAGCCATTTCTCCAAAGAAAAGACAACACTGGTTTTGCAAAAAGTTGAATAATCTTTTGACATTGCTCTGCATAAAGACATACAAGTGTCCCAGAATGGGGGGGGGGGCAGGTTATCACCAAGGCAGCCTCTAAAAGTGATCGTTTCCCTCCTCTGCTGTCATCGGTGACATGGGAACACCCAGGTTGTGTCAGGCGGTTGGCTGGGTTTTAAAATACAGGCTCACTTTCTGTTAACGAAACGCACGTGGATGGGCCCCCCTGGCGTCAGCAGCCCATGGGTTTTTGCAGGAACAGCTTTAGTCCAAGAGGATGGTTTGATCTCAAAATGTTGAAGCAACTAAGGAAAAAAAGAGAGGGGTGATTCAAAATGGGAACAGCAGAGGACTTGCAGTGCTCTGGATGAGTGTCCTTCAGCCTCTTCTGGAGTCCATGGGCGGCAGGAGCCCAGGAAGTGGGCACAGCCATGGTGTAGGACACCAGTCACCAGTCAGGGGACACAGGGGAATGCTGTGGGCCCAAAGCAGCACTAGGTCCTGCACAGGAGCCCCGCCTGTCCACTGAACAACTGGGAAGCTCACATGACAAAACTATGCAGACACAACGTTCAAAGGGCTTCCATTTTCTTGGCCATTTCAAAACTCCAACTCCTCTGCTTCCTCTTTAGGTCAAGGTAAAGAAGGTATCAAAGGAGCAAGAAGGACAGAGGAGACAAGGTGAAATCCCAGGGTTCCCTCCCTCTAGGAATCTGAGGTGATAGAGGACTGGGGGAGTGCACCACTGTTGGCAGGTGAATCAGCCAAACAGGTATCAGTGATTAATGTCCTTAATTTAAATATTCTCCATCTGTACCTGGATTCCATTTCTTATTTCTGTGGTTCAAAAGGAGAACCATCTCTACCACTCAGGGAAAAACTGAAAAGCATCTGAATAATGAGTTTTAAAGAGCACCAAAGTATCCATCCCCTAAAGCAAGAACCTCCACCATCAACGGCCCTGGCCTGATGTTCAAGGTCATGTTGGCTTAGGGAACTCAAGGCAACCTGCTCTGACGTCCTGTGTCAGAGCACACGTGGGATCTTGGAGGGGACAGAGGGCCATGCTCACCAGCAGACTAGCTGCTGCCCCCTACTGCTGCCCCTGGGTCCAGAAGAAAGCCCCACTTAACAAGCATCAGTTCTGGAGAACATATAATGTCACATGAGATCCAGGCCGCCTACCACCACCCTGCCCTGGCTCCCTCTCCACCCTCGTCTCCCAGGCAAAGAAGCAGGGCCCACTGACGGGTCCTAGGGTGGGCTGGGGCTCCAGAGGAGGCCACGCAGGGAGCAAGGGGCAGGGGGTAGGGGACAGGGGCAGGGTTGATTGGGGACATATATTGAACTCCCTCCATTGTCACGTTCCAGGAGCCAAGCTGAATAACCTGTATTTAGGCAGTCCATCAGGTTGTAGTATCCAGAGGGCTTTAGCAAAACATCTAACCTCTGACCTTTGGTTCTGACTTCAGAGAACTGCTTGCATATCCCCTGAGGCAGGAGAATTCACTTCAAAGCCAATGTGCCGCAGGATCTTTTTCCCTTTCTGAGTTGGCAACACTATGCTCACTAAAAAAAGTCCAAACCATACAGGAAACATACAAGCAAAAACAAAGCCCCTTGGGACATCTGGGTGGCTCAGTGGTTGAGCGTCTGCCTTTGGCCCAGGGCGTGATCTCGGGATCCAGGATGGAGGGGGCCTGCTTCTCCCCCTGCCTGTGTCTCTGCCTCTCCCTGTGTCTCTCGTGAATAAATAAATAAAATCTTAAAAAAACAAAGCCCCTCTTGCGCCCCAAGTCGCAATTTCCAAGGAGCTGAGTGTATCTTCTAAAAGTTCTCCGTGTGATACAAATATCTTGTTCCCAATTTTAAGGAAACAGTTTGACAGTGCACCATTAATTAAAGTCCTTTCCCTTCCCAAAGCTACAGTTATGTCCCTGTCCTGTGGGGGAAATGGCCACTTATAGGATTATGGAGAGTCCCTCGGTTACTAGTGTGCTGAGAGATTTTCTTCATGAATGTGTGTGGAATGCTATCAATTCTTTTCCATTTTTTTTATTTTTTTAAATTTATTTTTTTAAATTTATTTATTTATGATAGTCACAGAGAGAGAGAGAGAGGCAGAGACACAGGCAGAGGGAGAAGCAGGCTCCATGCGCCGGGAGCTCGACGTGGGATTCGATCCCGGGTCTCCAGGATCGCGCCCTGGGCCAAAGGCAGGCGCCAAACCGCTGCGCCACCCAGGGATCCCGCTATCAATTCTTGTCAGGGGTGGTCATAGAATTTTTCTCCTTCAGTTAGCTACTGCGGCAAATGATATCAACAGGTGTCCATGAGGTGGGCCATCCCTGCATTCCTGAATAAACCACATGTGCTGAGGATGCACTTTTGTTTCCTATGCTGCTGGATTTGGTTTGCCAACTTGTCACTTAGGATATTTTCCATCTTTGCTAATACATCAGATTGGCCAGTAGTTTTCCTTTCTCATATTATTCTCTCCAGGTTTTGAATATCAGGGCTATGCAAGTCTCATAAAAATGAAACTTCTTTTGCTAGCCTCTGTTTGTATAAGACGATTACCCATTCCTTGAAGGTTTGATAAAACTTGTAATGAAGCTGTCTAGGTCTGGAACGTTTTGGGGGTAGGGGTAAATCTTCTTACCACTGATTCCATGTATTCTGAGGTCTATTTTCCTTTGAGTCAATTGGGCAATTCACATTTTCTAGTACACTGTACATTTTATCTAAGTCTTCAAAGCTATTAGCAAAAAAAGCCATTTGTGGTATTTTCTTGATTTAAAAAACAAAATCAATGACTGCCTGTTTAGCTATGTCTCCTTTCTCATTCTTAGCACAGCTTATTTGTGCCTCTTCTCTTTTTTTTTCTTGATAATTACAAATAATGATGGTCCCCTTCTATATTTGCACAAGTGGAAATGAGGACTCTAAGGAAAAACTGCAGCAGGTACACTTGTATGTTAATAGCACCAAACAAACAAAGCCCCATCACTGCCACTGAACACCCTGTTTCTGACCATCTTCTAGTGGGAGCACCGGGCAGGGCTGGCCTCTGTGCCCTCGGCTGGCACCTTGTGCGCTTGTGGTGCACCCCCCCTCGTTCTTCAGGCAGCCAGAGCTGGAGAAGCAGCAAGCCCCACGGCCCACAAATTGACTCCCAGTAGGAAGTGTCCTCTGTCTGTCCAAGATGCAACTGCAGAATATATGGCAGCATTTTATAGAGCGTGGGACCTTCCTGAAAACCCAAAAGCAGCACTCAGGGCAGGTGTATGGACAATGGCAGCTTCCACTTCTTTGGCACAGACTGTGTGTACACATAATTTTTAGTCCTCACACACTCAGGAGTAGGTTTTGGCCCATTTTGTGAATAAAGAAATAGGCTGAGCTTGGCTGAAAAACCTGCCCAGAGTGTCAGGACTAGAAAACGGCAGAACTGGGATTTGAGTCCACTTGCCCTGGAACTCACATCCATGCCGCACTGAGCTGCCGCTCACCTCAGACACGACTGGGACAGGCCAGTGTCCGCAGGGCCCACCACTCCCAGGGATGGCTGCATTGGGGGCAACATCACGGAGCCTTGCCAGCAGCTTCCACACCATGACAGACAGGGCATGGGGGGGGGGGTGACCATGTGACATCCCTGTCACTGGGCTGTCCCTCCCACCCCAGCCACCCAGCTCCAGAGGTGTTCTCCTCCCATGCCTCCTGCTCTGTGCTCCCCAGCTGGGCAGTAGCCCCTCAACTTCTCCAGCTCTCAGAGCTGTCTCCAAGTGCTGGCCATCCAAAATCCCTCTCCACCCCTCCCAGGAAGGCCAGGCTTCTGTAGTGCCTCATGCTCTCTTGGGCCATCCATTATCAAGGTCCCAGCCCCTCTTTGTTCTGCTCTGGGCTCTGGGAGGCCACAGGAAGGAACCCCCATGACTTGTGGGGGAGACACAGGAAGGAGTCAAGACACCTGGATGGTGCCACACATTTGCCACTCTGTGACTTTGGCAAGCAGCTCAATTCTCTGAGTGTCAGTTGCCTCCTCAATGAAATGGGGAGCCTGGGTCACCAGGTAATCTCTACATTCTTCCAATGTGATGTCAATGGCACTAGCTCCAAAAGTTGGGGCCAAGGTCTTCCATGGCTAAGATATATTAATAGTAGTCTTCCTAAATTTGCAAGGAAACTTAGTAAGTAGAATTTTCTCTACTAAAGGCTTTTCTTTTATAAAATTTCCTTCAAACACAATTTAGCTCATGCTACAGCATGAACAAAAATACAGCATAGGTACAAAAGCATCTATTTCAATAGCAAGAGATTAAATGTAAGGTATTTCCCAACAAAAACCAAGCCTAAACAAGTTTGAGATATTTCACAACCTAAACAAGTTTGAGAACCACTGTGCTGTGTAAGTGGCTGGTTCACACGTCTCTCAGAGTGTAGCCCAGCAGTCACGGAGTCAGAATCACCCCCCAATAGCCTGACCCCAGGCCCACCAAATTACTATCTCTGCAGCGGACCCAGGAACCTGTATTTTAAGGATTTTCCTAATGCCTTTGCTGCTCCACAACATTGGAGGACCACTAGTTTGACACTTTCCCATTCGCTTGTGTCGAGAGCTCCTTGTGTGATGAAGAGTTGAGTTCTCAGGCCCCTGTAGAGAACCGCAACATGCACACCTCCCAATCCTTCAGGCCTCCAAGGGCCCCAACTGCTGCCCCAGGGTTCCAAGGAGAAAAGAGTTTTGGTGAGTAGTTAGGGGACCGACGGGGGTGGCACTTTAAAATATAAAAGGGAGAGACTTCTGCGTGGCTCAGAGGTTGAGCAGCTGCCTCCTGGTCAGGTCGTGATCCTGGAGTCCTGCCTTTGGCTCAGGTCATGATCCTGGAGTCCTGCGATCAAGTCCCACATCTCCCTGCGGGGAGCCTACTTCTCCCTCTGCCTGTGTCTCTGCCTCTCTGTGTCTCTCATGAATAAATTAAATTTAAAAAAATCTTAAAATATAAAAGAGATTTAACGTGAAGCTCTTGCTTTTGAGCTTTCAAAATCGCTTCTCCTTCCCACCCAAGTCTTCGTCTGGTAGAGCTCAATAAAAAGGCCGAGGCAGAAGGCCGACCTCTGGCCCCCACATGCCTACCTGGATGATGACGAGATGGATCTCCAGCTCCGCAATTCTCCGCCCAATGCAACTCCGAACCCCGTACCCAAAGGGGATGGACCCAAAGTTGTCGACTCGGTCCAGGCTTCCCTTTCGCAGCCAGCGCTCTGGCCAGAACTCCTTGGCCCGAGGGAAGTTCTCATCCTCGTAGGATGTGGCGTAGTGGCAGAGGGCCAGCTGGGTCTGAGGACACCATTTGCAACAGAAAAGAAATAAAGAATAGGATCAGGCAAAAGCAAAGCAGAGGCCAGAACCCCCTCCCACTCCACCCCTGCTTGGACAGTCCCTACAGAAGTACTTCTGGCCAGGAGGAGCCGTAAAGACCCCCAGAGCGGCAGTCCTCCTGCTGTGGATGCACACCCCTTGTGCCCAGGCAGCCACCCAGGTGATTCAAGGCTGTCCATCCTCCCCCCCCTCCACAGCTGCTGTGTCCGCGGGCCTCTGGGGGAGACAGGAGAGAGGCCTGCGAGCGACAGAAACATCTGGCTTTGCTTTTCGCAGGGCAATAAGCACTTCCTTGCTTTCAAAGCCCCATCTTCATCATAAAATACATGCAGAAGGAAAGGAAACTCCTGACATGTGCTTGCACGCAAGGACTTCCTACCCACAGCAGATCTCCCACTCAGCCGCCACGGCGGAGCCACCCCCACACCCGGCAGCTCAACTCACGCCTTTGGGAATCAGGTACCCCCCAACGACCAGGTCTTCCTGGGTGACCCTGCCATTTCCCGGCAGCACTGGAAACAGCCTGGAAGACAATCAATGAAAGTGGGAATGGGGTGGTCACTTTTACTTATTTTTTTTAAGGATTTTATTTATTTATTCACGAGAGAGAGGCAGAGACACAGGCAGAGGGAGAAGCAGGCTCCATGCAGGGAGCCCGACGTGGGACTCGATCCGGGGTCTCCAGGATCACGCCCTGGGCTGAAGGTGGCGCTAAACCGCTGAGCCACCCGGGCTGCCCGGGGTGGTCACTTTTAATGTATTGTACTAAACTTTCAGAAGTCTGGATGTTTTGCTACTTTCAGTTTTCGAAAACGTAACACACGGTCCACTTTCAACTAAGAAATCTCGTAAGGACCCTCATGGCTCCTTAGCTCTGGCCCATGCGTATTCTGAGGAATGGGGAAAGCAGGTTCCCGGGTCAAAAGTGTTTAGGAAATACAAAGCAGAGGCTTGAATGTGCTATTGCTTCCCAGTAGGGATCATCCCGAGTTTGGGAAATTTACACGGGCACAGGACCCACAGGAAACACATTTTGAGAAATGCTAAACTTCAGCTTTTGGATTGACTCAGAGAGGCAAACTGAAGAAAACTCTGAATTAAACTATTGACAAATACCAGTAAACACACAGCTAGCTTCCCCCTCACCCTGGCCAGGTTAAGCATGTTGTAGATTGAGGATGCGCCATAATTTGAAACGCCACAATCAAGCCAAGTTTAAAAGAATTATTGGAGTGTATACCATGTACCCACCTCTGCTCTTCCTCATGGCAGTTCCTCCACAGAGGAACACTGTGCTCAGAATCCTTGAACCTCAAAGGAGGAAGAAATTTCCCTGGCTACCTGATCCTACGTCCCACCTAAATCCACCCAAAGCCAACCACTTCCCCATGTCCGGGCTTTTCTGGGTGTTGGTAAAAACCCTGCCGAGAAGTGACTGAGTCTATGGGGAGTCTCCAATCCAACTAGCATATCCACATAAGAACCACAGTAAGCAGATTTGGTAATTAACCAAACAGCTCAAAATATTTTCCTGATCAATTTTGTTCTGCTTTACTTTTGGAGGAACAGAAACCAGGGAGTACTGATCCAGGAGCATGCTGGGGAACTTGGTGAACAAAATGAGTAAAGCAGGTACGATGCCTGGTGACAGCTCCAAAGAGCTTTATGAAGAACAATTAATATTTCAGACCGTAAAACAGAACAGCCTTTCTGCTCTTCTGAAGGGCAGAGAGGAAACAAAGGTAGTTATAAACATCCCCTTCTTAAACACTGCGGCCACTGAAGGTTGTTGGAGCATTTGCTTTGGACCTGGTTTTTAAGTCAAAAGCATAAATCATCATGATAAGGAATCAGATTTAAAAGACAGTTTTGGACATGAATTTTGGTGAGCTTTTTACCTCAAGGTTTCCTTCAGCAGAGCTCTGACCAGTGGGACTTTGGGGACGTCAGCTGCCGTTGGGATGTGCCTCTCCCCCAGATTCTTAACGATCTCCTGGTACAGGGTCTGCTGCACTTGTGGGTGCCTGGCGAGGAGATACACTGCCCAGGATAACGTGAACGACGTCTAATAAAGAAACCAGCAGACACACACAAGATGAGTAATGCCAAGGATTTAAGTAGCAGGCAACATAGACATGAAGTCACATAAGCATTAGCACTGGGCAGAGTCACATTCATACAACTCTATCTGAGCACGTAAGGTCTTGCCCAAACAAAAGGTGATTTTTCCCTAATTCATGCCAGAAAAAAAAAAAACAAATATTTTTGGAAAGCAACATCAACTATGTATGTGATTCAATGTCCTTCAATAAAGGACCACAGGAGAGATTATTTTAGAACTTTTTTGGATCATTTAAGAGCAATCCTCTTCAATGGAGTCTGAGAGGACCTAAAGATGCTGGTCAAGCCTGCAAGTTGTGTCCAGAACTTTCTGTGACCTTTTCTGCAACAGTCATCTGTTTTTTGCTAGAAAGGGCCAGACTGCCTATCAGTCCAAAACCATTCAGTATGGAACTTCAAGAGCCCATGATGGCTGGGTGGGGCCCGCTTGGTCATCACATCTGGGAGGGGGAGGTCACTATTTGTCAGCCACTGTTTCCATGCACTTCTCAAGTAAAGCAGCCTGAAGGATTTAATAGATAATTTATGCAAAACAGTATCATTTTTTATATCACATCTCAGGTGAAGAATTACATTTCTGGTTATTGAGAATAATTCTATTTTATGCTCCTAGGTTCTAAAACTCTCACTACATGCTCACTATTATCTCTGTGACTATATTTCACTCTCTTATAAACAAGGATATTCCACAGTATAAATGTCTTCTCTTTTACCTAAAAACAAAATCTAAAGTCAGTAGGCCATACTGATATCGTTTCCCTATAATAGATATTATATGTTTTTAGAGGGCAAGCTCTCTACATACATAATGCACAAGTCCTTCCTTATAAATGATAAGGAAATAATTTATAAATTTCTATTAAAATCATATTTCTGTGGAAAAACCAAATGCAGTACATACATAGAATGGAATACTATATTTGTACCTCGTAGATACTGTGGGTTGGGTTCCAGACCACCACAATAAAACGAGGATCACAATAAAGTGAGTTTCAAATGAATCTTAGGTTTCCTAGTACACATAAAAGTAATGTTTACACTACACCACAATCTATTAAGTATGCAATAGCATTATGTCTAAAACAACAATGTACCCACCTTAATTTTAAAATACTTCATTGCTAAAAAATGCTAACCAATCACCTGAGCTTTCAGCAAACCTTAATCACCCACTGAGCAGACCAGGGATTCTATTATATATTATTATAACAAATATAATATATGTTTATATATTATATATTATTACAAATATAATATGTATTATATATTTGTTATAATGAATATAATAATTAAAATGTTTGAAATATCCTGAGAAATAGCAAAATGTGACACGGAGCCGACAGACTTGCTTAATGCAGGGTGGCCACAAACCTTTAATTTGTAAAGAACAAAACAAAACACACACACACACACACACAATCTTCGAGGTACAATAAAGTGAGGGATGCCTGTATGCAACTATATCAGTGAATCCTGAAATCATTTGCTAAGTGAATGAAGCTAGATGCAAAATACACACTGCATGATTCCATTTCTATAAATTTCTAGAAAAGTGAGAACTGATGCTCAGCATCAGAAAGCAAATCAGTGGTTGCCAGGGGCAGGGGTGTCAGGAGAGATAGACTGAAATGAGGGTAAGTAAATTTCAGGGATGGTAGAAATGTTTAGGATCTTGACCATGGCAGTGGTTTCATAAATGATTGCATTTGTGCTTATCCTGTATCCGCCAACAATTTGTTATCAAATTGTAAGGTTTAAAAGGATGTAGTTTCTTTTGCATAAATTATACTGCAAAAAAGTTTTTTAAGTAATATGTTAGAAAATGAATATGAAGTTGTAGGAACATGTCTGATGCACCCTTCACCCCCCTCTGGTAGGAATGGTCCTTCCTTTCTGAGCTCCACCTCGTGTGATGTTCGTAGTTACCACCAGGGGGCAGGAGGGGAAATGCACCCAAATCCGCTTAGAGGTGAGGCCATCCACTCACTCATCCCTTCCTGGTTCAAGCAAACCTACATCACCCACTGCATTCAACAGGCTGATAAGGATTTTCATTGATCATATTGATTTCATTGGTTAGCTTGATAGATGGTTTTGTTTTATTGTTGTAGAAGAAGATCCATAAGAATAAGGAGTTTATACTCTTTTTTTTTTTTTTTGCTTTTACATGTTTACATGACATTATAATAAAAATAATGTTAACCCTGGGTGGGGGTGGTTCTTCCTTTAAACAGGTTTGTGCCTCAGTCCAGTTCAGGAAGCACTCGTGTAAAGGAAAACCTTGGAGGTGAGGAGATTATTTGTTTAGTTTTGAAGGCCTTTGGAAAGAGTAAAGCAGCAGGGAAATCTTATTATTTCACTCAATGAACTTTTCTTCCACCAGATACTAAAAGCCTGGCCCTGCTTGCCTCTGCTTCACTACTTCTTTTTAGCAAATTTTACAATTTTTCTGTGCGGGACCGGGATGCCTGGGTAGCTCAGTGGTTGGGCGTCTGCCTTTGGCTTAGGTTGTGATCCTGGGCTCCTGGAATCGGGCTCCCTGCAGGGAGCCTGCTTCTTCTCCCTCTGCCTATGTCTCTGCCTCTCTCTGTGTGTCTCTCCTGAATAAATAAATAAAATCTTTAAAAATAATAATAAAATAAAATTTCTCTGGTTATATACCCCCATGTATACCATTTTTCATACATGAATAAAGGTATCCTATTACATATGTTTTGGGAGGAAACTGGACTCCCTTTGCCCCGCAGCACCCTCCCATCCAGGTGACCCATGTTGACAATTCAGTGTGTAACCTCCATACTTCCTCCACACTCATAAGTCACATACAGACACAGATATGCACACAGATGGGCAGGGGCCATGCCACCATTTGTTTTACCAACAGGAGCACAGCATATACAGTTTTCTGCATCTTCATGTCTCACTTAACAACAGGGGATGGAATTACCACCCAGTCAACTGGCAGTGCTTTGTTTCATTCTGATATTCCTCCTTCCTTGGTCATAGTAGATTATTCACCTGCCACAATAAATCCGTTCATTGGGATCTTATTTAAGATTGACAGACAAACATATTCCTAAGTCAAACTGTTTGTTACATTTTTCTTTCTTTATGCTCTCTTTAGCAGATTTTGGTTTAAGAGTTATGGTGGCTTTATAAAATTAATTGGGAAGTTCTCCATGACCTGCAATATTTTAAACGATTAATAAAGCTTTTAACATCTGTGCCTTCTTCATTTCTGAGATTATGAAGCAATGGACCAACGTTTGCAAATCGGGAATGATTTTTAAACTTTAAAACACATTGTTGCTTTGTGTGCGTGATAACTGAATGGGGGTTACCTTTTTTGCAGAATTATGGTTTTATGTTTTCAAATACATGTATATTGGGCACCTGGGTGGCTCAGTTGGTGAAGTATCTACTTTTAGCTCAAGTCATGATCTCAGGGTCCTGGGACAGAGCCCCAGGTCGGGGAGTGGAGGTGGGGGTTAGGGGTGGGTCCCTGCTCAACGGGGAGTCTGCTTCTCCCTCTCGCTCTGCCCCTGCTCGTGCTTTCTCATGAACTCACTCTCTCTCAAATAAATAAATAAAATCTAAATAAATAAATAATACAATAAAATACATGCATATTATTTAAAAGTTAGATTTTTCTCCTGGAGACTTTCAGCAGTAAAGCAAATGTTCAGTTAGTGCAAACACTTATGAGATTACTAGCAAAGAACACTCGTAAAACAATCAGTGTGATTCATCATATCAGCAAGAGAAAAACCAAGAACCATATGATCCTCTCATTAGATGCAAAGAAATCATTTGACAAAATACAGCAGCCATTCCTGATCAAAACTCTTCAGAGTATAGGGATAGAGGGAACTTTCCTCGACATCTTAAAAGCCATCTACGAAAATCCCACAGCAAATATCATTCTCCCACAGCACTGGGAGCCTTTCCCCTAAGATCAGGAACAAGACAGGGATGTCCACTCTGACCACTGCTATTCAACATAGTACTGGAAGTCCTAGCCTCAGCAATCAGGCAACAAAAAGACATTAAAGGCATTCAAACTGGCAAAGAAGAAGTCAAACTCTCCCTCTTCGCCAATGACATGATACTCTACATAGAAAACCCAAAAGCCTCCACCCCAAGATTGCTAGAACTCATACAGCAATTTGGTAGCGTGGCACGATACAAAATCAATGCCCAGAAATCAATGGCATTTCTATACATTAACAGTGAGACTGAAGAAAGAGAAATTAAGGAGTCAATCCCATTTACAATTGCACCCAAAAGCATAAGATACATAGGAATAAACCTAACCAAAGAGGTAAAGGATCTATACCCTAAAAACTATAGAACACTTCTGAAAGAAATTGAGGAAGACACCAAGAGTTGGAAAAATATTCCATGCTCACGGATTGGCAGAATTAATGTTGTGAAAATGCCTATGCTACCCAGGGCAATTTACATGTTTAATGCAATCCCTATCAAAATACCATGGACTTTCTTCAGAGAGTTGGAACAAATTATTTTAAGATTTGTGTGGAATCATAAAAGACCCCGAATAGCCAGGGGAATTTTAAAAAAGAAAACCATAGCTGGGGGCATCACAATGCCGGATTTCAGGTTGTACTACAAAGCTGTGGTCATCAAGACAGTGTGGTACTGGCACAAAAACAGACACATAGATCAATGGAACAGAATACAGAACCCAGAAGTGGACCCTGGTCAACTAATATTCGATGAAGGAGGAAAGATTATCCATTGGAAGAAAGACAGTCTCTTCAATAAATGGTGCTGGGAAAATTGGACATCCACATGCAGAAGAATGAAACTAGACCACTCTCTTGCACCAGACACAAAGATAAACTCAAAATGGATGAAAGATCTAAATGTGAGACAAGATTCCATCAAAATCCTAGAGGAGAACACAGGCAACACCCTTTTTGAACTTGGCCACAGTAACTTCTTGCAAGATACAACCACGAAGGCAAAAGAAACAAAAGCAAAAATGAACTATTGGGACTTCATCAAGATAAGAAGCTTTTGCACAGCAAAGGATACAGTCAACAGAACTAAAAGACAACCTACAGAATGGGAGAAGATATTTGCAAATGACCTATCAGATAAAGGGCTAGTTTCCAAGATATATAAATAACTTATTAAACTCAACAGCAAAGAAACAAACAATCCAATCATGAAATGGGCAAAAGACATGAAGAGAAATCTCACAGAGGAAGACATAGACATGGCCAACATGCACATGAGAAAATGCTCCGCATCACTTGCCATCAGGGAAATACAAATCAAAACCACAATGAGATACCACCTCACACCAGTGAGAATGGGGAAAATTAACAAGGCAGGAAACAACAAATGTTGGAGAGGATGCGGAGAAAAGGGAACACTCTTACACTGTTGGTGGGAATGTGAACTGGTGCAGCCACTCTGGAAAACTGTGTGGAGGTTCCTCAAAGAGTTAAAAATAGACCTGCCCTACGACCCAGCAATTGCACTGCTGGGGATTTACCCCAAAGATTCAGATGCAATGAAACGCTGGGACTCCTGCACCCCGATGTTTCTAGCAGCAATGTCCACAATAGCCAAACTGTGGAAGGAGCCTCGGTGTCCATCGAAAGATGAATGGATAAAGAAGATGTGGTTTATGTATACAATGGAATATTCCTCAGCCATTAGAAACGACAAATACCCACCATTTGCTTCAACGTGGATGGAACTGGAGGGTATTATGCTGAGTGAAGTAAGTCAATCGGAGAAGGACAAACAGTGTATGTTCTCATTCATTTGGGGAATATGAATAATAGTGAAAGGGAATAGAAGGGAAGGGAGAAGAAATGTGTGGGAAATATCAGAAAGGGAGACAGAACATAGAGACTCCTAACTCTGGGAAACGAACTAGGGGTGGTGGAAGGGGAGGAGGGCGGGGGTGGGGGTGAATGGGTGACGGGCACTGAGGGAGACACTTGACAGGATGAGCACTGGGTGATATTCTGTATGTTGGTAAATTGAACACCAATAAAAAATTAATGTATTAAAAAAAGAGAGAGATTACTAGCAAAGGCCCCGGCTTTAGTTGTGCTTTGCTTATGAAGAAGAGAGAAAGGCCAAGACACTTACCGTGTCGACACCGGCCAGCAGCATCTCTGTCATGTTGGCATAGATCTCCTCCAGCGTCAGCTCCTGACTGAGGAAGAGGCATGTGAGCAGCCCCCCTCTTACCCTCTCCCCGCGGTCCATGTGGCACTGTATGTCCTTCAGCTTATTGTCAACATGGATTTGGCCTGTTTGAAAAGAGTTATTTCTTTTGAAAGAAGTTTTGGCTGAGAATAATCTAATCTTCCCAAAAGATGAATCTGTGGCAGGTTCCAAAGCAAATGAAACCCAGATTGATTTACCATCATCAACCTGAGAAGCTCATGAATATGCCTGTTTGTATAAATGAATGAAAAGTTAAAGACAAGCTAAGCATCTCTTCCTCTCTGAAAATAATGCAGAAGGTATTTGAAAATGTTTGCTTTACTCATCAAAGAGCCAAGAAAGCTTTGGAGTAACAAGAATACAGATCTCTTTGTTCTTTTTTTTCCCACTATGTTTCCAGAAGGGAGAATGGAATGAGTGTAAAGGCCATGTTACCATAAAAAGATAGTGGCATATTAAATCCATCAGAACTAATATACTCAAATGAAAGCTGGCCTTCAAAAGACACTATGGGACACTTCTTTCAATGTTAGTGTTGTTCTAAAAACATTGTTCTAATAAACATTTTGGAAATCTTTTCTTTTTGGAAATTCTTTTTTAGTGAAATGTTTAGCTATGTAGGAAAACTAATCTTGTTTGCTGGGTTTGAAGAAAGTATTCTTTCCCAGTTTGTTTCGCCAGGTAAGAGACAGTCTCTTTCCAAAAAGCCGCAAATGAGAATGTTCGAGTGAATGTGCACAGGCCCAAACACTGTCTGCGTTTCAAGCACTGATAGAATTATTGGACTAAAGACATCATCTCCTTACACAACATTTACTTGCATATATCAGCGCTAGCCTGTTTGTCACAATAAAAATAATTTAAAAATGAGAAACCTATCATGTTGTTTACAGTAGCAACCCACAAGCTTCTTGTCATCTGAGATGCTGATCCAAACAGCTGATCCAGGGGCATCTGGGTGGCTCAGTGGGTTAAGCCTTCCACTCAGGTCATGATCCCAGGGTCCTGGGATGGAGCCCACATCGGGACTCCCTGCTCAGTGAGAAGTCTGCTTCTCCCTCTCCTTGCTCTTATGCATACTCGCTCTCCCTCCTCTCAAATAAATAAAATCTTAAAAAATAAATAAATAACCGGTCCAAATAACACGCAACTGCATGAGACCACCCTCCACAGCATCACCCTTCTGGCTGCATGAGCATCAGATACACCACGACAGCCACGCAACTTTATCAACTAGTGAGACAACAGGTGCCCCTCGAGTCTTCTCTTACTGAATTTGAAGAGTCCGTCCCAGGACCTGCAGAACTCCAGCCAGGGTTTGGGGATGAGAGGGCGGAGCCACCTGGGGATGGCGCCCGCATACATGGAGGTCTTGAACATGCTGAACATGAGCCCCAGAGCCTCGATGTAGTCCACGGTGGGCTGCGGGACACTGTTCTCCAGGCAGCCCAGGCGGCTTTCATAGAGGATGGTGGCCACCCCTGCACGGGAAAGAGAGTTTAAGTAAGTCAATTGGAGAAGGACAATCATCATATGGTTTCATTCATACAGGGAATATAAGAAATTGTGAAAGGGATCATAGGGGAAAGGAGGGAACTGAGTGGGAAAAATTAGAGAGGGAGACAAACCATGAGAGACTCCTAACTCTGGGAAACAAAGAGTTGTGGAAGGGGAGGTGGGTGGGGGGTTGGGGTAGCCGGGTGATGGGCACTGAGGAGGACACTTGATGGGATGAGCACTGGGTGTTAGACTATATGTTGGCAAGTCAAACTTCAATTATATATATATATATATATATATATATATATATATATATATGTAATAAACCCTCATCTTCTACATGACTCACAGTGTCGATATGCCATATCTAGCCATAAAAGTAAGTTTCAAAAGCAATCGAGGTGACTTCCTTGAGCCAGGCTCTGCTGTGCTCTATCACTGCAGGATTTCTTCACCACATCCTGAGCTTACAAGGCTCTGAGTATTCAGTGCTGATTGCCAGTGGGGAGGTCACTCCTGCCTGGCCGGGCTCAGCTGCATCACACTCCCCTCCCTTCCCTCTCGATGGTTTGCTCAAGACCCAAGATGCAAAGCCCCCAACCTCTCGGCCCACTGGCCCAATGCTGGAGAATCGAAAGGTGGCACCTCTGGGCCACCAAGTGGGGACCCCCAGGCCCAGAGACCACAGGAACAGAGGAAACAGCCTCAATGAATCAGGACAAAGCAGGATTTCCCACTGTGTTTACAACTCAGCTCTCTGTTGATTTGGTTACTCCATTCAGGGAGCATTAATAGAACTTTAAAAAGTTAACTTAAAATTTAAATTTGAAGTAAGGTAAGCTCACTTTTAAAAAAAGGAGAATGCTGATAGAAAGTCCTTGATGGAAAAAAGCAAAGTACAGAACAACCTGTTTGGTACGCTACTATTCTGTTTTGGTTTTTTAAGTAAAAAGAACATTCACATGTATCTCCTTGTATGTGCATAAAGTATCTCTTGAGGAAACTGGTAACCTCCCCAGCTCAGGGGAGAGGAAGAGGGAGGGGACTTTTCAATGACTACCTTTGGGTTTGATTTTCGATTTTAGGACATGGATGGGAATGTCCTGCCCATCCCACACTTTAAAAGCTACAATAACTAGAGTAGAGGCCCTCTAACTTCTACTCTGTTTTGCTAAAGCAAAATGTGTGGTAATTAGGAGCATGATTCTTGAGTTAAAAAGACCTGGATTTGGAGCACTTGGGTGGCTCCGTGGTTGAGCGCCTGCCTTCGGCTCAGGTTGCGATCCGCAGGTCCTGGGATCAAGTCCCACATTGGGCTCCCCTCAGGGAGCCTGCTTCTCCCTCTGCCTATGTCTCTGCCTCTCTCTGTGTCTCTCATGAATAAATAAAATCTTAAAAAAAGGGGGGGGCCTGGATATGAAATTAAGTTTCTGCCACTAAAAATGGGGGCTGTTTTCCAGTTTCCCCACTTATAAACCAGTGGCGGTGGTACATCTGGCACAGTTAGCACCGTGAGAGCTATGTGTGTGTATGCACAGGGCTCAGCACAATGCCCACAGGGACACAGGACATGCCCAGTGGATGAGAACTACTATTTTGGGCAAATGTCCTTTCTTCCATCTGTCTCCTGACTTCACCTCACCTTCCATTGAATATTTGAAGAAAAGGTCATTGACATTGGTCACAGTTTCTCCATCTTCTGCCTGGCTCTTGAGAATGTAGATTCTTTTAATTAAATCAGCAATAACTTGGTTGATTTCTCCTGAAAAAATGGCCACATCTCTTGGTTTCAGAATTCTTTGTCTCAATACACGTCTCATCTTGAGCCACTGTTCACCCTCCCTAGAAGAATAAAGCAAGTTTCAGATAATCTTAATAATCTTACTTCCACTGATATTCCGGAAAAGAACTCGGTGAACCTCTGAGAGTCTCCCCAGCAATAAAAAGCCAACAAGATCTGCCGATCCAAATGGAATTAAGATACTGTGCGGGGAGAAGGGATAACTTCAACCTTGCATTCTCTTCCCCTTGACACAAACTTTAAGGGGAAAATTGCCACTGGGAATCATCTTTATGAAAGTAATATGATTTCCTTTGAAAAACCTTGCCAGAAGATTATAATAAAGAGACATGAAGCTGTTGTGATTAGCAAAAGAGATAAAGTTTTATGTGTATGAACTCCTAAGCCCTGGACAGAGCTCCTGGGCAAATAGTTGATGCAAAGCCGCAGGTGATGGCACAGAGAACAGTTTTTGCGGCATTTCACCATTCCCCTCCAGGGCTGGGTCAATGGGGAGGAGGTGTTTGATTATTTCTTTCAGAGCAGAAGTTGAGGGATTCTGGTAACATCCAGTCCCTATGATTAGCTCTCAGAGGGCAGAGAGGTGTTGATTAGTCTTGTATACAAATAATAATCACAGCCTGTTAGGAGACAGGAACATCATCACATGGCAATCCATGCAGGAAGGCTCTTAGCCCGTCTTCAGGGTCTCCTAAAGCAGCTGCCTGCCTCACCTCCAACCCCCTCGCCTGCCCACAGATAGGCTCTGTGAGCCTCCCTCCCTTGGTTGTCACTGAGAGGATACCTACAGTCTCAGAGCACTGCTTGGGGAACAGTTCCTCCCCTGCAGTTCCTCCCCAGTTCCTGCAGGCTAGTGTGACCTGACTTTGTCCCTGCCATCAAACCTCTTCCCAGAGAAGGGACAGGGCCCTTCTGCACTAGTATTTAAAAGATCACACAAAGAGGCTGTCTTGACACAATTCCACTGAGAGTTCTGCAATTTATTAAAGATTGATTTTTAGAGCTCAGCATCCAGGCAGGAGTCTCCCTGGGCTCCCCACTCCCACCCATGGCTCGCCCAGGCCACATACTCACGCTGAGATGAGCCCGGTGGATCTGCCTCGTAAGTGTCGGTACTCCTGCCAGGACTCCATGTTGGCTCTCTGGGGTGTGGCCCCCTCTGCCCGGAGCACCTGAGCCACCATGTCTCGGTCTGCAATAGATACTACAAACTGAGGACCAAAGTGAGACTTGAAGATTTTTCCATATTCCCGTGTGTGCTTCTGCTGCAATACCATGGAGACACCAAAAAAGGAAAAAATACACAGATATGATATACCTTTGACATAAACATTTGTTTTAGGGTAGCAGAAAATTGGGGCAGAGGAAAGCTCTACATTACACAGATCTCAACCAGAGTTGTAACATCACATACTCCTGAGAGAAATGTACTTTCACATCAATAATCATATTCACATAAGTTTTCTTATTTTTTTTTAATTTTATCTATTTATTCATAGAGACACAGAGAAAGAGAGAGGCAAAGACACAGGCAGAGGGAGAAGCGGGCTCCATTCAGGGAGCCCGGCGTGGGACTTGATCCCAGGTCTCCAGGATCACACCCTGGGCTGCAGGCGGTGCTAAACCCCTGAGCCACTGGGGCTGCCCAAGTTTTCTTATTCTTTAGAGCTATGTTTTCAACAATACTTAGCTATGTAGAGCAATAAGAGAGAAATGTCATTATGGATGGAGATGAACTGCAGAGCCTTTGATTCCCTGAGCTAAAAAGACTTCCAACCCCTGTCCCAGGCCCTTAGTGGCTCTACCACCCCGTTCTAAAGAGAGAGAGCCCTCTGCAGGCAATCTGTAATGAACATGTGGCCCCCAGCAAGAAAATGAAAGAAAAAGCATCCAGATTAGAAAGAGAGAAGTAATGCTACCTCTAATCATAGATCACATGATTTGACATACAGAAAATTCTAAGGAATCCACTAAAAGACTATCAGAACTAATAAACAAGTTCAGCAAGCCTGCAGGATCTAAGACCAATATACAAAAGTCAGTTGTATTTCCACACATTAGCAATGAATAATCCAAAACGAAAATTAAGAAAAGTATAATAGCATCAAAAATAATAAAATCCTTAGAAATATTTTTTTTAAAAAAGTGCAAAACTTAAATTTCAAAAGCCATAAGAGATCATTGAAAGAAATTAAAGAACACCTAAATAAATAGAAAGATATCCCATGTTCATGGATTGGAAGACTTAATATTATTAAGATGGGAATACTCCCTAAATTCACCCATAAATTCAATATAATCTCTATCAGAATTTCAGTTGACTTCTTTGTAGAGAATTTACAAGCTTGAAATTCATATGGAAATGCAATGGGCCAAGAACAGCAAAAACTACCCTGAAAAAAAAGAGCAAAGTTGAAGCATTCCATTTACTCTGTTTCAAAACTTGCTGCAAAAGCAACAGTAATCAAGGCAGCATAGTACTGGCATGAGGATAAACATCTAAACCACTGGAGGAGGGGAACCCTGGGTGGCTCAGCAGTTTAGCCCCTGCCTTTGGCCTCGGGCGCGATCCTGGAGTCACGGGATCAAGTCCCGCATCGGGCTCCCGGCATGGAGCTTGCTTTTCCCTCCTCCTGTGTCTCTGCCTCTCTCTCTCTCTCTCTCTCTCTCTCTCTCTCTCTCTCTCTCTATCATAATAAATAAATAAATAAATAAATAAATAAATAAATAAATAAACAAATAAATCTTAAAAAAAAAAAACAAAAAACACTGGAAGAGAATTGAGAATCCAGAAATAAACCCATATATCTCTGGTCAATTGATTTTCAACAGTGTGCCAGTGCCAAGACAGTTAAATAGGGAAAGAACAGTCTCTTCAACTAATGGTGCTGGGACACCTGGATATCTACAGGCAAAGAATGAGTTTATACCCTTCTCTCATACCAGATATAAAAATTACCTGAAAAGGGTTCAAGCCCTAAATATAAGAGCCAAAACCATAAAATTCTTAGAAGAAAAGATAGGGGTAAATCCTCATGAACCTTGGATTTGGTAATGATGTCTTAAGATACAATATCAAAACCACAAACAAGAAAAGAAAAAAATAGAAAATTGGACTTCATCAAAATTTAAAACTTTTGTTTCAAAGGATACTATGAAGAAAGTAAAAAATAATCCCCAGAATTAAGAAACTATTTGCAAAGCACATATCTGATAAGGGACTTGTATGGAAAATATATATATTGAAAAAAACTATTACCGATTCAATAAAACAATGAACCAATTAAAAATTGGGCAATTATTTGAATGGACATTTCTCTAAAGAAGATATACAAATGGATAATAAGCAGATGAAAATAAGCTCAACATCATTAGTCATCAGGGAAATGCAAGTCATAATCATAATGAGATGGCACTTTACACCCCACTAGAATGGTTATAGTCAAAAGGATAGGTAATAACAAGCCCTGACAAGGATGTGGAGAAATCACAACCTCTTACACCACTGGTTGAAATGTAGATAGTGCAGCCACTTCAGAAACAGTCTGGCAGTTCCTCAAAAGGTTAAATACAGAGTTACTATTTGATCCTGAAATCCCACTCCTAGAAATATATCCAAAGAAATGAAAATATATATCTCTACAAAAACAAACATATTGAATGTTCATAGCATCATTATTCACTATTAGCAAAAAGGTGGAAAACAATCTGCATGTCTGTCAACTGATAAATGGACAAGCAAATGTAGTATGTTCCTATGGTGGAATGTTATTTATACCTAAAAAAGATGAGGTGTGGGGCAGCCCAAGTGGCTCAGCGGTTTAGCGCTGCCTTCAGCCCAGGGCCTGATCCTGGGGTCCTGGGATCGAGTCCCATGTCAGGCTCCCTGCACAGAGTCTGCTTCTCCCTCTACCTGTATCTCTGTCTCTGTCTCTCTCTGTGTGTGTGTGTGTGTGTGTGTGTGTGTGTCTCATGAATAAATAAATAAAATCTTAAAAAAAAAGATGAGGTGCTATATATACCACAACAAAATTGAACCTTGAAAATGTGATTCTCAGTGAAAGAAGCCAGACACAAAAGACCACATATTTTGATTCCACTTATATGAAATGTTCAGAATAGGCCAGTCTATAAAGACAGAAAGTAAATTAGTGGTTGCTTATGGCTGGAGGGATGGAAAGTTGGGGAGTGATAGCTAAAAGAAACAATATGGGATTTCTTTTTAAGGTTATGAACATGTTCTAAGATTGACTGGGGTGACTACGATGGTAGTGAATTAGATCTCAATGGCACTGTTACCAAAAAACAAAGAGAAATCACAATAAATGTAAATGGGTTAAATAAGTGAACAAACAAATAAATAAGAGAGAGAGAGAGTACCTGGCTCACCATGGCAGAGCCAGGGCTGAGCATATGGGGAAAATGACTAAGTCTCTCTTTGGCATCTGCCAACATTTCTTTTATCTCCCTAGCTCTCAACCTTAGAAATAGAGGCCAGAGGGTTTGTCGTCTCTCCCTTCTTCCTTCTCCTCCTCAGGTATAAGGTGTTCACTTCCGTATCAACCTGAGTGGAGTCCTCCCACCCAGAGATGAAGACACTCAGACTCAACTGAAAGGTGTTCCTCTAGGTCTCCGAATGGGAGCCACTGAGGAGATGACTGTTAATAGCAACTCCCGGGAAAGGAGTCAGTCCTCCAGCAAATCCAGCTACTGAAAAAACACCATCAACACAAGGGAGCAATTGAGGAGGCATGAGAAAGAACTATCTGGATGACCCAGAGAGTATACAGCACTTTTCGCTAGTGGACCACAGTACAGGAATCAGTCCCAGCACTTAGAAACCTGCATAGACAGTAAGAGTACAGACACTGGAGCTTGAAGCTGAGCTCAGACTGTACCACCTGGGGAACTTTAAGAAGTTACGCCCTGCTGTACTTTGGTTTCCTCACCTGCAAAATGGACAAATACTAGAACTTGCCTCACATGTAGGGTTCAGAACTGTGCCTGGTACATGAAAAGAGTTCTAGAAATCCTCATTATCAGTCTTTGTTATTATTACAGCTGACAAAGCCATTCTGTAGCCCTAATCCCATTTGACCTCACAATAACTTGTGAGATGAATGAGGATCGTCAGACCAGGACACTGAGGTCCAGAGAGAATAAGTGATTAGCCACGACTCCCACAGGTGCTTGTGGAGGTTAGCATTGTAACAGGACCCTCTTGCTCTGTCACATCTGAAACAGCTTCTGGCGACACAGCCGAGGGATGCCTGCTCTGCCACTAAGTAGCCTCACTGAGGCTCACTCAGTAGGTCACTAAGTGATCTCAGGCAAGTCACCCAGCCAATACTCTGGGTCTTTCCCACCTGTACATGGAAGACTTGAACCCTACAGATGATGCGAGAGCAAACACTGTGTGACCACAAGTTGATTAAAGGAAAGTGGAGGTAATAGTAACAGAATAAACTCTCTCTACCAGTGGCTCAACAACCTGGAGAGCAGGACAGAGGGTTTTACTAGAACCTTATTTGATCTAAAGCAACCTGAGCATACCTGAAAAGTGGGTAACTCAAGGCTATTGGGCACTCCCTAGGGGTCCTCAGAGAAGTTGCAGGAGGATCTCCACTCCTGCAAATGAGTACTATTTGGAGAATAAAGGAAAAGGAAAGCCCAGAAGGAAAACAGAGCTGGGAATAGACGGGGCCTGTCTATTGTTTTTCTGGGAAAGCACAGGTGAGTCAGTTTCATGACTGTCCTCTGGCAGGTGTGCACCACCACTCACCACCCACCACGGAGAAAGGCAAGGTCTGAGCCTGGACAGGAGGGCTGCCTTTAGGGTGATGGCAGGAAGTAGGGCAGATGCAGGGAAAATGTGCCTCTGCACTGAGACACTCTCTGGCCCTGAAGAGGTGGCTCTCCAGGTGGCTCCTGCTAGGGATGCAGGTTTTAACAGAGGTCAGCTTTTCCAAGAAACCTATGCTGTGGAACCAACTGTGGGCTTCTGCTGTGAGGATAAAAAGAAGATGGAAGCAGAGGGGGATAAAAGTAAAAAAAAAAAAAAAAAAAAAAATCTGTACTGACTTGTTCATAGTAAATAACAATACATTTTTTGCCCCATTTAAAACCATCACCCTGATATCTTGTATTCAGATTCCACACGGAAAAGAGAGAAAATCATATTTGAGCCCTGGAAGCCTGTCCAGGAAGAAACTGTGTAGGGTTGGTGTGGGAGATGGAGAGAAGGGACTGGGATCTCAGTCCCATTAAACTCCCTCCGGAGTCCTACCTTCATTTTCTCCTAATGAAGTTTCTGCCTCTGCAGCCCAATGGGGCCTCTGCACCATGGGGTGTGTTTGCTGGTTGAGGGGAAAATGAAGGACTACGAGGGCAGGCCAGGTGGGTAGTTGCAAGAGGCTTCCTCGGAGAAGAAGAGTGAAGGGTAAGCTTCTGAACAAAGGCAAGTGTGCTTGGGGGGGCAGAGGTACCCTCGGAAGGGCTCAGGAGGCCCAGGTCCCAAGAAGACGTGGGGGGAGGCGACAAGAGCCCGCGACCCTTGAGGGCAGAGGGTCACCTTGCCGCAGGGGCGCACCCGCGATGCGGAGGGGGGCACAGTGCAGGGTGGAGGCGAGAAACTGTCGGCCCAGCGGGTCCCAGACTCTCCCGCAGGTCGCTGCAACGACTGGGCGCTTCCCAGGTCCCTGCCCGAGTCCCGCTTGCAGCCGGGGCCGCTCACACCCTCGGAGGCTGAGCAACCGGTGGCCCCCGAACCTCCGGAGTTCTGGGGGGAGGGGGGCCCACGGGACCGGGACCCGGAGCCACAGCGCCTCGGCCGCGTAGACACGGCGTCCGGGGAGCCCAGGGCGCGCCCCCGCGGGTCGAGGAGCTGCTCTCGGGCTCCCGGGGGCCGCCTGCGGGGTCCACGGTCCCAGCCCGGCGGGGCCTCCCCCCGGGACCGCTCCCCGCCGGCGCCCCCACCTCGGCATCCTCCGCCGGGCGTCCCCCGCCCCCGGCCCAGGTCCCTCCGCTGCGCTGCGCTGCGCCTCCCCCCGGGCGCCCCCCGGCCGACCCCGCCGCGCCCGCGCCGCTTACCTGGATCTCGTGGACGCGGCCGAAGCCGTCCTTCCAGAAGAACTCCACCAGGTTGGCGAGGCTCCGCGGCCCCGGCATGGCGGCGAGGCTGCGGGGCCCCTGGGCCCGGCCCGCTCCTTTGTCCTCGGCCCGCGCCCCCGCCGGCGGCCGTGCGCCCTGGGGTCGCGGCTGCTGCTGGGCCGCGGGGGCCGGGAGCCGACCGCGCCGGGGCGCCGAGCTCGCGCGGGTGCTCAGGATTCGCGCCAACAGAGCCATTGCCGCCGCTCGGCCGGGCTGGTGGGCTGCAGCGACTTCTCCGTTTGGGGAGCTGCTGCCCTTTGGGGGTGCTCTTTGCTCTGCCTTAACGTGCACGAGCAGCGCCTCTTGGAGCTCATACCGCCTGGGCATCAGTTTACACCGACCATGACTCAAGACGCCCTCCCCTAAGGCCGGGGGAGAAAGGGGGGTGGGTGGTCTGCGATCAGGCTGCAGGACAGCGAGGCGCTCAGCCTTCCTGCACATCGCATTAATTCACCGCTTACGCGTCCTTCGAAACCGCAGAATTTTCAAGTTCTACCCCACTTCCGACCACAGCCAAGAAAAAAGTCTATTGGAATTTTTAAAAAGCATTTTCTTCCTTAAAAATCACTATGGAGAACAGACCCCCCCCAAAAAAAAACTATCACTCTTTTTTTTTTTTTGATATATATTTTAAAAACAGTTCTCCGTGATTTCAAGCCCCACAGGTATGACTCAACATCCAAAAGTTTCGGAGGATTCGTGCACGTAGTTCCTGATACTGTAAAAGGGCCACAGGATTATTTTACCACGTTTCCATAAGGATAATGGTGCAGTTTCCGTTCGGCTTGTATGGGTCTCCCGGATTTTACCCCGGCACGCCACAGCCGTAGGGAGGAAGTGGGCTGCCTGGACGCTGGCTTGACCATTTGGCAAGTCTCCGACCCCTCTCCGGGATGGGTCCTGTCCCGCAAGGCTGAGAGCAAAGGCCACACCTCCGCGGGAAGGTGAGAGGAGACAGGAGTTTGGCAGCCTGAGTTCAGATCTCTGTGCCTTGCGGTGGCGGGAAGGAAGTGGGCCACTGAGGGGGGGGCATGGCCCTGGGACAGGCTAGAAGTGTGTCATCTGGTGTCAGGAAGGGAGCCCAGATTCTGAATGAGCAGTCCAACAATGTACTCCGAAAACTGGGAACATTACTCAAAGATTTCATAAAATTTGTACTTGTGCAGCTGAAGGGGGTAAAAAAAAACAAAAACCCAACTACAGACACCAAATATTATTACTAAGCAAAAAAATATATGTTTTCTTTCTTTCTTTGTATTTATTTATTTATTTATTTATTTATTTATTTATTTATGAAAGAGAGCATGCACACATAAAGCAGGGTGAGGGTCAGAGGAAGAGAGAGACTTCCTGCTGAGCAGGGAGCCCCATGTGGGACTCCACCCCAGGACTCTGGGATCATGACCTGAGCCAAAGGCAGATGCTTAATCCACTGAGCCGCCCAGGCATCCCAAAACATATCTGTTTTTTGATCAGCAATTTATGCTTTTACAGCTCGGCTAAATCTCTACTGGGTTTATAATAATTGTAAGTACACAACTAAAGCAAAGATGGCCACAGTTATTCAATTTCTAGAACTTACTAATAAGTACTCAGCAGGTGTTATTTATAAAGCACTGTAGCTGCAAGGGATTCAAAGAGCAAGGCACTGAAGCTGCCTTTGAGGGCTCATAAGCTAGAAGAGATGAATACAACAGGTACACAAATCCGAGCTGGATTACCATCAGTGTCCTAAAGCTAGTACAGAATATCATTGGAATCTGTGGGAAGAAGCCATCACAGCTAGTTGAAAGGCTGGTGCAGAAGAAAGACCTCCCAAGAGAAGCAGCATTTTCATCAGGGTTTGAAGACCCGGCTCAATTTCAGTAGGCAAAAGTGGGAAAGCAGTTGTGCTAGGAAAGTCTGAAGAATTAAGCAATGACTTTGTTCCTAGACACTTTTTAAAGTATTTCTGAGGGTTACTGGTCCTCTGGAACAAATAATTTATTAATGGACCATACATATAAAAGGAAATTCAGTCCATTCTAGACAAAAAAACTGTTAAATATAGATTTATATAAAAAGCTTTTTAAAGCATGGCTACTTCTTTCTTAGGGCTAAGAAATAGCCTGTGGTGGAAGACAGGAAGGTAGAGGAGAGTAAAAAAATATATAGAGAAAGACAAAGAGAAAGAAAGATTTATTTTTTTTAAACATTTCCTTTTTTTAAATTTTTTTTAATTTTTATTTATTTTATGATAGTCACAGAGAGAGAGAGGGAGAGAGAGAGAGAGAGAGAGAGAAAGAGGCAGAGACATAGGCAGAGGGAGAAGCAGGCTCCATACACCGGGAGCCCGACGTGGGATTCGATCCCGGGTCTCCAGGATCGCGCCCTGGGCCAAAGGCAGGCGCCAAACCGCTGCGCCACCTAGGGATCCCAAAAGATTTAAATCACACACAAAAACAGGTTTTCAGGAAGCACTGTGCTCTCTTAGGTCTTAGGATATCATCTATGGCAACTTCTAAAGCTCAGTCCATAGCTGAGGATACAGATAAAGTTATCAGTTCTTCATATTTGCCTCAAGCTCTAATGAAACTAAGCCGAAGGCTATTTTAGAGTCTCACTACGGTAGGTATAAATTTTTAATCTGAAATTCTACAATACAACTGTATATCATTTTCTTGTTTTCTTATTACTGTTTTGTAGCTAATTATTATTATTAGTGGAAAATGTATATGAACCCAGAAATGGAATAAATCATGCTGATTGGGAGAATTTCTTTCCCTCTAACCTAAATAAAATAAATATAAATTATAAAGTAACTGTTACTTTGGTCTTTGTCCAGTTTTCTTTTTCTCATGAATATTGCTTTTGTAATAAAAAATAGTTCATTTAAAAAATGGTTCATATAGTTTTGGGGAAGTTTAATGGGAGAATTTATCTTCTCCACCTTTTATTGGGTGGAATAAGAATCTGAAACACAAGTAAAACATGCCTGAAAAAAATTTTCTTTTCAAATAGGAAAATACTGTCCATGTGTTTATTCCTTTCTCCCCAGTGAGCAAGAGAAACAAAAATGAGACCCTGATTTCAAGTAGACAGGACAGCACTATCTGTCCCCATCTGACCTGAAACCAGGAGATTGTGCACAGCTGTTTTCCTTCAACAAAACCAGTTTATTGGCAGTACGAAGGGAAACAATGAGGTGCCCTTACCCAAGAGAAAGAAAAGGGATATAAAGCTGCCCTCTAGAAGTTGGATGAATAAGCTCTACACACGTTAACTAGCCATCTGTGGAAGTAAAATCAAGATAGTCATTAAAGTCTCCCTGACCACAAATTAAGGTGACCTCCGATGACTCTAGGATGCAAAACTGGAATGTGGGAGCTGGTAGGTAAGCAAAGCTTAATGGAGTATATTCTTGGAATAGAACAGGGATGATCAAACAATCTCAGAAAAAAGAACCAGTATAGAAGACATTCTAGGAAACAAAGCTTTCCATTCCAAAACCCAAACTTGCTGGTCATGGTGGGGCCGGAATAATTTGCCTAGCTTCCCATAGTTTGGGGGACACATCTCTCCTGGCTTCCTGTTGCCCCTGATCAGTTTCATTTTCCATCGGAAGAACTGCTGATGCTTCAAAAGAGAAAGTAATGGTATCATCTTGCTACTTCTCCATACCTGTCAATACAAAGACAAAACAGAAAATCAAATGAAGATATTCCAGAAGATGGAACTAGGAGATCTCAAATTTTCTTTCTGTGAGCAAGCTGGTGCTCTTTAAGCCACTGTGGACATGTAGCCCCAACAATCCCCGTTAGGCGAGGCAACAAGAAAAACTTCCCCCTTCCTCAGAGGCATGTGGGAGTTCTCCAGTAGGGTTCATTAGCCAGCAATACTTCGAAAGCAATTGTCTAGCTGCCAAAATCACTTTAACTTCCCATAATAAAAAAAAAATGTCGATCCCACCTAGCTTTATGAATATTAGTTTGCATGTTAATAAACATGTATGGAGCACCAGGCCTTATCCTAGACACTTCTGCACCCTTTCATCCATTTACTTCCCACAGCTACCCCATGACATAGATACACTGTCCTCATTTTCTGTGAGGAAACAGGCCTCAGAGACCTGCTCCAAAGAGCTGAGTCTGAATATAAATCTGCTTCTACATATGCTTTACCTACACCTATCTGCTTTAATGCAATGAAGAGGATTCAGACCAGGCCAATTCTCCGGGCACCTGCAGGAGACATGATTCATAGCACTCACCATGTCTTAGACACTCATGATTCACAAAAAATGACTATAGTGAATTCTGAAAGGAAGGCTGTGTGAGGCAGCAGACCCGACCCCTCCATGGTCTCCAGAAGGCTGGTAGGAGATGAGAATTGTTTGCTCACTCTCCTTTTCTTGAGCAGCCACCTCCTCCTCATTTCACAGATGCGCTGCTTAGTCCAAGTGGTTTGGATGGGGCTGGATACCTGGGCTCCTCACTCCAGGGTGGTCAGAGTTCTCAAGGGATTTTGCTAGAGCATCAATACAGGCACTCTCTCATTTGGAGGCTGCAATCTGGAAGCGCTTGTGAGCCATCTGTCCCATCACACACAGAGAGGACCTGACCAAGAGCTTTGCAAACAACAGAGAAAGAGCCTTGATACCCTCCTTTGAGATACTGGACACAACTGTAGAAGAGATCTACCACTCTCTCTCTGATTTCTCAGTTAGGTAAGTCAGCACATTCTTTTGTTTGCCTTTATGAAGTAGCTTTTACTTGATGAATTAATCACAGCTCAACGTGAGGCCTTCGATCCTCCAGATTCAGAGAGTCCATTCTGTTAGAGCCTCATTAATGAGAATTCCTGCCCCAAGCAATGAGGACTTTCAATTAAATGATTAATTCACAATAAGAGAGAGAACTCTCAAAGTATCAAACATTTCCACTGACCTTACCAGCCTATTTTGTCCCTGTGGACACTGGAAACTAAATTATCTGAACTTCACCTGGTGAGCACAGCCCAGTTCTCCTGTCTGTCATCGATCCCTTTAACCCTTGACTGGGCATGTTTATGTAATGCTTCCCCAGCCTAAGTCTAAGACTATAAATGCCCTAAGGGCTTGGGAATGTGTCCAACTCATGGCTGGATTCCCTCATGCCTAACACAGAGTTGGCACACAGGGACACTTACAAATGTCAAAACAAGGGCAGCCCGGATGG